TAATACGTGCTGGGAGCTGGGCCGCCACCAGCGCCGCCTTCCACAAGCCTGGAGAGAACGTAGCTGACTTGGGGGCAGGCTGCCCACCCACCCACCAAGAAGAGAAGGCCTGGGCTGGCAGGAAACATGCCAAGGGCTGGCTCCTAGGAGCACCCAGGGCTCCTTCATGACCTCAGGCACCTCATGTTCCCTGGAGCCTTACACCTGGCCCGACAAGCCGGGTTAAAGGGGACAGTGCCGGGGCGGGTGGACTCGGGAGCCCAGCAGCCCTGAGTTCCCATCCCACTCCACCACCCTCCAGACAGGTGCCTGAGGGCAAGTCACAGCCCACCCGCACCTCAGTTTTCCCTCGGCTCTAATATGGGGAAAGGGCACCCAACTCCACACGCTCGCGAGGGCTAGGTCAGATTAATACAAAGCACTTAATACAATGGCAGGTACCTGACAGGTGTGCAACAAGCACAGGTATTTTACTCAGGCTTTCATTTTATATGCTCCTCACCATAATTAGGGCTGCCCTGCAGGCTGCCCAAAGGTCACCCTGAACCACTGGGTCCAGAGTCCTCCCTGACCATAATGAGGCATTGTCCAGCTGAGTGCTGTCCAGCCAGGTCCTGGAAGAATGCCTCCCACCTCGTCCCAGGAGAGCGCACCCCCCTGACAGACACCCAGGGCCAGTGACCTGGCACCGGACAGGAGTGACCCTGCCGAACACTGTCCACAGACGGCCGGCCCACATGCAAGGGTGGGCGTGCTCACTCCCTTCACTGTGAAGGAATGACTTCCCGGAACAGCAAAAGGAAGTCGCCTCTGTCAGCCCCTCCCAAAGGCCCCCTGGAGGGCCCACGGCAGTGTGACAGCCTCAGCACTGGGGACACAGAGCTGGATGGCCCTGGCTGGCTCCCTCACTGCTCTGGGCTCTGGGCTCCTGACCTGGGAAACGGTCCCAGTGCAGCACCCTGGGGTGGAGGGGGAGTGGGGCAGGGAGACCCGTGACCGGGACCCCTACCCCCACCCTGGCCGAGGAGTCACATAGCATCAGTCAAGCCCTTGGGGGAGTGATGGGCAGGCCCTCAGTAACCAAGGAACAGGAAGAGTGTGAGAAACTGAGGAACAGGAAGAGTGACTTGGCTTGAACCGGACCCTGTGACTCACAGCAGAGCTGGGCTGTGCACTCAGTCTGCTCTCCAGGACTCTGCTGGAGCTGTTCTGGTCAAAGGGCCGAGATTCCCCTTCCTCCCCCCACCACCCCAGGGCAGGCAGGAAATCTGAGGCTGGGCTCAGGTCCAGCTGAACCTCTACTGCTCACCTTCCTTCGGTGGCCACCAGAGCAGGCTGGGGGGGTGGCGCCCAAGACCACAGACGTCTGAGCCCCAAGGCGCTGCCTTCAGGCTCAGCTGGCTCTCAGCCACACACATGCCTCCTTGTCGCTACCACCAGATGTCACACTGTGAGAAATGCCATCAAGGGCAAAGTGGACTTGGGTGCCTCAGTAGCATTTTACCGGAAAAGGTTGGGGTGAATGTAGCCCATGACCACCAGCTTGGAGGTCACTATCCACCACTGCCTAGTGTCCAGCGGGACCAGAGAGGCCCACAGGCTACTGCTTACTGTAAGTTCCCCAAGCCCCTATGTTCGTGTCTACAAACAGCCCCCGCCAACAGCCTAGATAAAACTAAGTAATGAACCAAGCGCAGCGCCCCCCCCCCCCCCGCCAGGGTCAAGCTCTTTATTCAGGTCAACAGCAGCAGAAGGCATCGGAGAGGGAAAGAAAGGCACAGGCCAAGGCCTTCAGGAGAATCCCACTCACCCAGCCCTGCAAGCCCAGAAACACCAGTTCCACAAGTTTCCCGCTGGACTTGAGAAGTCCCAGAACGAAGACAACTCGAAGACAAGAAGACAACGCGTTTAAAGTAGCAGCTTTTCAAGTAGGAAACAGTGCTGCCTCACTCAGTGCTCTGGGGCTGCGCGTGCTGTGGCAGCTCTTTGTGTGCACGGCTCTCAGCTGGGCCGGGCTATTTTCTGGGAGGTAGTGAGATGTGTGTGTCCGTCAACAAGGCTCCAGGATCCAGGGACTCTGGCCTGGGCCTGCAGCCACTATGTGGCCACTCAGTGATTCCACAAACGCTTCATGAGCACCTACTACGGGCCACACTCGGGAAGGGTAAACACTATCCTGTCAACGGGGTGAGCCAACTCTTAGATAAAAAACAAGTGTATTCACCCCACAGAGCCTTCCCAAGTACCTACTGTGTGCTGGGTGCCACCATCCCAGGCACTGAAAACAAAGCTAAAAGTGCTGAAGCCTTCAGGTGTGGGGAACCCAATCCAGGGCTGGGGTGGACAGGAGGGACAGCCCTGTGCAGGGCAGCAGGAGAAGGGGCCCACCTCCCAGCCTCCTGGGAGAGAAGGGGGGAGGGGATGGGCCTCAGGGGGAAGACGCCCAGGCTCAGCCCAGGTCTGCACCCACTTCCTGCTCCAGCCTGACCCTGTCTGTCTGTAAACTTAAAGGGTTTTTCACGAATATCCTGAAAAGTACTCAATACCTGGCACACAAATGTTTGATAATGTCTAATGTTTAAGTCCACAAGGGGCTACATTTCTTGGCCGTTTTCCAGAAAACCACGTGGAGCACAGGGGCCTACTGCGGGGAGGCCAGACGGCCCACAGACAGCCTCCAGGGTAAATGTCAGGCTTCTCCGGAGGCCTCCTCCTTGCCAGGCACCGTTCTGAAGGCTTCACGGTCAGCAATTCACATTAAACTTCCCAAAACCCAAGGAAGGAGAGCTGCAATCGCTCCCATTCTGCAGATGGGAGCACTGAGCCGCGGCGTCCTCACCGCTGTGTGACCTTGGACAAGTCCACCAGGGCCACGGGCCTCAAATCCAAAGGGCTCTGAACCAGTTTCATGAATGCCACGTTTGGTTCATGAACGAGGGACGGACACAAGAGTCCTTGCTTGCTCTTGGAGACAGAGAGGCTAAGGACGGAGAGGCCATGTCGCTCTTGCGAGGGCGCGGGTTGGGGGGGGGGCCTCCTTATCCGGTGCCTCACCTCCTGCCCTGGCCCCGCGCCCCTGCGGCCTAAGTCGACTCTGGGCCTCCAGTTCCGCCCTGATGGCTCTGGCACACTCGTCCAGTGCTGGGCGCCAGCTTCTCCAGGCGTGGATCCGACAGGGCGTGAGGGGCTGGGGGCGCCGGACCATGGTGGACCCATGAGCTCACCCTTCGGGGACAGCCTGGCCCGGACCCAGCCGGGGGTCTCTGCCCGGGGAGCGTGGGTGGCAGGCGGGTCCTTCCCGACCTGCACTGGCGGGATCGAGGGCCAGAGGGCGCCGCCGGAGAAGGTCACCCAGACCTGCAGCCGGCAGGGCCTCCACGCCACGGTCCGCGCCCTTCCACCAGCGAGACCCCGCAGGCTCTGGCCCCCGGCGCCTCCGGATGCCTGGCCTCCAGCTCCCCGACCCCGGCCCGCTCGCCACCCGCCCGCGCGGCCTGCTCTGCCCGCCGCTGACCAGGCAGGCCCGCGCCGGCCGCTCCGGCCCCCTCCTAGGCCTTCGCCTGTCCTTCTCCTCCCCTCCCCCCCCAGCTCCCCGGGGCCCGCGCACTGCCGGGAGCAAAGGCAGAGCCCCGGCCTGTCTCCGCTGCGCCTACCTCACAGACGGTGGCAGCGGGATCGGCGGCGGCTACGGCGGGGACTGCAGAGCAGGGAACCAGGGAGCAGCGGGCCGAGGGCGGAGCGGCAGGACGACGGCGGCGCGGACCCGCCCCGACTCTGCGCGCACGGCCGGTGAGCTCCGCCCCGGGGCCCGCCCCGACACCGCCCAGTCCCCTCCTGGTCCCCGTTCAGCTTTGGCACGGTGTGGCGTGCGCCCCGGCACGGGTGGCAGAGCCGAAGCGCACTTGTCTTGTGCGTGCGAGGGGACAAGCGTGCGGGCCGCCCGCGCCAGGCAGTCTGCCGGACATCCCGAGGGGCCGAAGCATGCGGGGCGGCGGGGTATTCGGGTTGGCTCCCCGGTGGCCGGGGGTACGTCTGCGGTAATGCAGGCGGCGGGGTCTGATGCACTTGCTGGACCCCGCGACTGAAGACACCCCCCCCCCGTCCCCGGAGCTGACGTGGCGGGTGGCCCTGGACCGGGGAGACCTAACTTGGGCGGCTGAGGAGACTGTCCCCTGAGTACCACCGGCAAAGCCCACGCGGGGTATGAAATCGGGCACCCAGATCGGCCGGAGGATCCGGGTCCAGGAGGCGCGGGGACGGAGGACTGGCCACCGCCCACTGCTCCTGCGCCCTCGACACCTGCGCTCGGCGTGGCCGACCCGGAGGAGCCGCGTGGCTCACCCAGCCCTGCGTTGGCCCGGGCGAAGCGCAGCGCCCCGGAAACTCCCCTGTGCGCCGAGTCTGCGCTCCAGACCAGCGGTTTTCCTGGCAGCGAAGCGGCGAGCAGCCATTCTTGGACGTCTGATGAGTAGGAAAAGCACAGTGCGTTTTGCAAGAACGTCTCCCTGGTCTCGCCACGCGCGGAGGTGCCGCGGGTTCCGGCCAGCGGGGGGCCGCTCGGGCCCTGCCCTCCCCACGCGGAGCCCGGTTAAACGGCCTGGACTGCCCCGGCTAGGCCAAGGTGGGTGGTCCCAATCACCGCTGACTATCAGTGGCATCCCGCGCGCTCCAAGAGGACCTTTCCAAGCCGACTTCAAGAACTAATGAACTCATGGCTGGATAAAGATTCTGCAAGGCTTGGGGCGTCTACAGCCCGGCAGAGGAGGCTCTGGTCTGCAGAGGAGGGACAAGAGCTCACAACCAGCTGTGGCACAGATTAAAGGAATAGGCAGCTAGGGCATGCAAAGATGCAGTCAGGGCAGGCTGCTGGAAAGAGGTGGCAGCTTAAATAGGACAGTAGCAACTGGTATTCCAGTAGGGGATGGGGCGTTGAAGAAGAAGGTAGCTTGGTGGGGGGTGGGGGGCAGGGGGCAGGCAGGGTTCCCTGTGGGAGCCTCAGGTGTGATTGGAAATGTGAGGAGAAACCCCTAAATCCCCGAGGTCCTCAGGAGTGAAGGGCCCATACTAGAACTCTCCCCAGGCCTGTGGGCTGCTGGGTGGGGGACTCTGGGCTTCCCAACCTGGCCATCCCCACTGGGCGCACAGAGGCCCCCTCCTGGAGAGGATCAGGCAGCGAAAGCTACGGAGTGACCACAAGTTTGGGAGGGCAGGACCTCGAGGAGGCAGGATGGGACCAGGTGGCTCTGAGGGACCATGGAGCTCCAGACACCTCTCCTGAGCTAGGAGCAGGTGTGGCACCCTGGGTCAGTGCACTTGAACCCAAGGTTCCCCTCCAGTACCTCCTGGCCAACTCCCCTTTCAGGACCCCAACATGGGGGGAGAGCCCCTGCCCGCCCTTACTTGGTCCCTTTTGAGGCTCCCCGAGGTGCCACTTCCAGATTAATCTCCTGAGCTCCTTCTGAGTCACTTATTGTCTGCGTGACTCTGGGCCACAGGCCTGGGCTCCAACTTCAGAGGGTGGTTGTGAGTTTAAGATGGGTCACACAAGAAGCAGGCGCTCAGGAAATGGCGAAGAAAGAAGAAATTATTGGGACACGGAAGCCCTCGGGCCACCTGTTGACCTCTCCCCTCCTCAGCCCTGAGCGGGGCGCTGAGCCCAGGCAAGCTCCCAGCAGGCTCGCCGGCCCCACCCCCACGCTGCAACCGCTCCTCCTCCGCAGGCGCCTGGGCTGGGCCAGAGCTCCCAACCGGAGGCCCGCCAGCGGGTTCTCTCTTTAAGTTTGAACTGAGAAAACCAGGTTGGGCCTAACAGTCTTTCTCTGGGGGAAAGGACCCTTCTCCCTCGGTGTGCAGACTCTGATGGAGCTGACTCCATCCTGGACGCTCTTGGGGGTGGCTCGGGTGGCTCAGCCTGACCAATCAGAGCACTGCCCTCCCCTGGCCCTAGAGATGGACCAATGAGACTGGATCGGACTTCCCCGGGCTTTTGAAACAAGGACGTTAAAAATGAACCCAACCCACAAAAGAGAGACAGATACCCGGTCTCGGGGCATCCTCTTCCGCATCTAGCCACGCCTCTGTGCCTTCCAGCTATCCGAGCTGAAAACGTACCTTTTGGCCTATTCCAGTCCTGACTAGGTTTTCTTCCAGATCCTGACTCATGCCGCCCCTTCCTTTGAGCAGAACAATAATATACAACATCCAGAGATGGTAAGGTTTTTCTATTATTTTTAGCGCAGGCATGGCTGAACAGCATAAGAATGTTTCGTTTTAGGGAAGTCCTTTCTTATATCTCACTTGCAGCCACGGGCCTGCTACCCGAGATATTTACTAAGATGGAAATCAGCGAAGCAACACCTTTCCGAGAAGCCGTGTCGAAACACTCTCCACCCTTTTCAGGTCCAGACGTACATCGACATGATTTCTTAATGTCATCTTCGCCTGTAAGTTAATTTTTAAAGAGAAAAATACCCTGCTTGAAATGAGCATCCGTGAACTGCAGTATAAAGCTGAATGGTCATACAACCCAACCTTTTTTACCCGTTTTCCAGCCTACGCTCTCGGTAGGAGGAGTCAAAATTGAGAATCTGCGGTCAAGAATCGCAAACCACCCTGGTCAGGGAGCTCAGCAGTTAGAGCACCACCCGATACACCCAGGTTGGGGGTTCGATCTCCGGCGAGAGGACATAGAAGAATCAACCGATGAATGAATAAATCGGTGGAACAACAAATTGATGTCTCTCTCTCACTCTCAAATCAATAAAATAAAAATAAGAATTCTCAGGCCATACTTTCCACTTCGTTCCCTGACAGTCAGTCCCCATTAGGGGAAGGACCTGGCCAGGCCTCCCGACTCCGAGGAGCCAGTTGATTACTACGACCAGTCGCATGCATTACTACCTACCAGTAGTAATCAGCCGGGAAACGGATAAGCTGATAAAAGAACTTTCTCCTGAATACCTCGAAACATGCAGTGTCTTAGATCTGAAACAGTTCCATGAAATTCCAGCATGAGATCCATGTTTTTAAAATTATAGACACATAAACACAGGCAGAAATATTGGAAAGTAATGCATTAGTGGAAAAGTATTGGTGAAGGTATAGGACCATACATGGTTTTTCTTATCTCTTTCTCTGTGTCCCAAATAATTTTTAAAGATTTTATTTATTTATTTTTAGAGAGAGAAAGAGAGGGAGAGAAACAACCACGTGTGGTTGCCTCTCATGCACCCCCTACTGGGGACCTGGCCTGCACCCCAGGCCTGTGCTCTGACTGGGAATCGAACCAGCGACCCTTTGGTTCACAGGCCAGCACTCAATCCACTGAGCCACACCAGTCAGGGCTAACTATGAAGGTCTTTATAAGAGAGAGTCAGAGTGATGGCAGGGAAGGCAGGAATGAAAGTGAGAGAGAGAGAGATCGGAAGGTGCTACCCCACCGGTTTGACCATGGAGGAGGAGGCTGTGGACCCTGCCAGGCAGGCAGCGTCTGGACGGTGGAGAAGGGCCCTCGCCTCAGAACCTCTGGAAGGCACCAGCCCCGTGTTAGCCCAGGAAGGCCGACTTTGCACTACTGACCTCCAGAACAGTAAATCATAAATGTAGGTCGGCCTAAGCCGCTACGTCCGTGGCAGTTTGTTACAACAGCCATAGGGAGCTAATGCCTCGGGGAGACATGCTGTGGACGCTTTGTCCGAGTGGCGCCCCAGCGCAGGCCGATTACCCAGAACAAACACCATGGACGGACGAGGGGGGGGCGGGCGGCGGCTTGAACAGCACATTTTCTCCTCACAGTCCTGGGGGCAGGAAGGCCGAGACCAGGGTCAGGTTCTTGGCGGGGACCCTCTTCCCGGTTGGCTCTTCACGCAGCAGATGTTGTGCATCCAGGCAGAGACACAGCCTTGGTGCTACGGGCTGGGGCTGTTCCATCCGCCACATAACAGAACAGGTCCCTGCACCCAAGGTGAGCTCTGGCCTCTGCCCTCGGCTTCTGGAACGTGATCTCTAAGCCCCCACAATGTCACATCAGGTGGGAGCATCTTTACTAAGTAAGGGTGAGGGCTGGCCGCACAGGATAACCTAACAATGCTATTTAGGGTGGGGTTTGAGTCACAGCAGCAGCTGGACTTCCGGAGGGACCAGAGGCTGCTGATGTCAGTCACAGGGAAAGATGACCACAGAGCCCAGCACGCCTCTGCACACGGAGGCTGGGGGTCTCCCCGGGCTGGCACTGCTCCAGGGACACTGCCATGCGCGGTGCCGGCGCCCACACTGCCCGTGACTCCACTGGGCGAGGACAGCCTCCTGTCCTCCGACCCTCCTGTCCCCGGCACCCCACCTCTCTTCTCCAGGCTGATCTGAACCCATAACCTTTCCCTGTGATCAACCATAGCCGTGACGACTACGGCCATGCTGAGCTCCTCAAATCCTAATGTAATCAAGGGTGGAGACCCCCAAACTTGCAGTTGGTGTCAGCAGGGAAGCAGCCTGGTGGACCGCACACCCTCTAGTGCGGCGCCGCCCCGAAGCCTCACCCACCCATACACACACACGCAGCCTTGCACAAGGAGGACTGTCTTCTCCTGATTCCCCCCGGCTGGCCGAGGCCCGCTGGCAGACTGGGACGCGGCTGCCCTGGCTGAGGCACCCTGCCCTCTGGGTCTTATTCCCCAAAGGCCCCTTCCAGGAGCTGGAGCGCAGTTGCCTCCTCCTCCCGGCAGGTGTGGGAAGGACTTCCTTTCTGATGTGGGTGGAGAGAGACAGGTGGACAGAAACCAATCAGCAGCCAGGCTGGCTTCAGAGCCCAAGAGTCCCTGCCATTTGGCCCCCCAAACCCCCAACCTGCCCAGGACCTACTTTGATCTTCGAAGGAGGAGAGACTGGGGCAGGAAGAGCTCACCCCCAGGGTCTGGCCCAGCTGCCCTGAAACTTGTGAGGCCCCTCCTTCCCCTGACACTCCCCTGAGTCCCCCCATGTCCCCTAGCCCCCAGGACGGGCCTGTAGAGTCACAGACTGGCAGGGCAGAGCAGCCCGAGGCAGAGAGGCCTCAAATGCCTCCCCGAGCCCAGGAGTTTCAGGTTAAAATCTAAACTTAGCAGCCCTGCAGCCTGGAGTTACAAAACAAGTTCTTCCATGACTCTTATGTAAGATGATTAGTCCCTTTGGCCCTCCCTCCCCCTCCCCAGTCCTCCTCACTCCGGGGTGCAGGGGGGTGGGGGATGTGGCTTCCCCTGAACTGTGCTGAAGGCCCCCCCCCCCACATCAGGGACCCTGACCGCCTCTTCTCTCCCTAAGCCCAAGCCTGAGCCTCACAATGCACACACAGTAGGTCTGCAGGAGGACCGGGCCCAGCTTTGCCTCCCCAGCCTGGTGCTGAAGCAAACCCTGCTCCCCCGCAGGGGGCTGCACCATTTGACCTCTCCCTGACCTTGAACATCAGGCTTCCCCCCAAATAAGAAAATGCACCTTATTCTCCAGGGATCTTGGAACAGGCTGGCCGTTTTCAAAGCCTGCTGGGGCCGTAAATAAGGAGAGCTGCCCAGCTCTTCAGAGACACAGGGGGCCAACGGACGTAGAAATGAGAAAGGACAGACGATGTTCCTCAGAACGGGGTGCACCCGCGAACGGGGTGCACGCGCTGGGGGCTGGAGGGCTGTGCGGGGGTGGGCCTTGCCATTCCAGGTTCCCCATTCACATTTCTGGGGTGGCGTCAGCGCCTGCGATTTTCACGAGCAGCCAGCTCAGCTGGGAAGAATGCTGTGACCTTTCAGAACCTCGCAGAAGAAACTCAGGGTGTGGCTGCTCCGAACACCAGCTCCCCGGGGCGGGGTGGGGAGTAGGGAACCCATTCAGGACATTTCTGTTCACACCCCTCTGCTCTCCTCGGAGACCCAGCATCTGTGAGCTGTGACGACCGAGGCTCTACAGGAAGGCGTGTCCACTTGCCCTCCATCCGCTCCCTCCTACTGAGAGACCGTCCACTTGCCCTGCACTCGCTGCAGGTCTCTGCTGTCCAGTCACTGCGCCTAGAAGAGAGGATGTAGCCCTGGCTGGTGTGGCCCAGCTGGTTGGAGGATCGTCCCGTGGACCCAATGGTTGTGGGATCAGTTCCTGGTTGGGGCACATGCCTAGGTTGCCAGTTCAATCCCAGGTCCGGGCGCACGCGGAAGGCAACAGATCGATGTTTCGCCACCCGCCACGCCCCCCACCACATCCCTCCTGACTCTCCCTCTGGAATCTTGGGCACGTCCTCAGGTGAGGGTTAGAAAGCGAAGCAGAAGTGGACGCGGGGCTGTAACGCAGCAGAGGGTGGAAATGGGCACCGGAGGGTAGACTTCGCTCAAATCACTGAGCAAATGAGCGTGTAATGAAGACCTTTGACAGATGTTACGGAAATGACTTCCACAGAAACATTCATTCATTCAACCCCTACGTACTGACCTCCTATCACGGGCCGGACACTCTCCTAGGTGTTGGGGACTCGGCAGTGGACTAAAGAGACGGCCCCTTCCCTCTTAGCGCTCACCGTATCCTGGGCAAGACTGACGGTTAACAGTGAACGTGGACGACGGTGCCAAGTGCTGGAGAGCGTCCTGAAGACAATGAGGGCAGGCGGAGGTGGAGAGGAACAGGATGGTCAGGGGATGCGTCTCCAAGGAGGTGACTTTTCAGCGGAAACAAATGATATAAATGAAGTGAATGAGTGGATTTTTTAAATATATTTTTTATTTGATTGATTATGCCATTACATTTGTTCTATTCCCCCCTCCATTCCCCTTCACCCTGCACACCCCTCCCCCACCATTCCCCCTTTAGTTCATGAACATGTGTCTCAAGTTCTTTAGATTCTGTATTTCCCATAGTATTCTTACCCTCCCCCTATCTATTTTCTATCTACTGTCTGTGCTACTTATTTTCTGTACCTTCTCCCCCCTTCTCCTCCTCCCACTCCCCTGTTGCTAACCCTCCACATGATCTTCATTTCTATGGTTCACTCCTGCTCTAGCTGTCCTTTTAGTTTGCTTTTGTTTTAGGTGTGGTTGTTAATAACTGTGAGTTTGCTTTCCTTTCACTGTTCATCTTTTTTATCTTCTTTTTCTTATGTAAGTTCCTTTAACATTTCATATAATAAGGGCTTGGTGATGATGAACTCCTTGAATCTGATCTTATCTGAGAAGCACTTTATCTGTCCTTCCATTCTAAATGAAAGCTTTGCTGGATAGAGCAATCTTGGATGTAGGTCATTGGTTTTCATGATTTGGAATACCTCTTTCCAGCCCCTTCTTGCCTGTAAGGTCTCTTTTGAGAAATCCACTGACAGTCTGATGGGAACTCCTTTGTGGGTGACTGTCCCCTTATCTCGTGCTGCTTCTAGGATTCTCTCCTTCATTTTAATCTTGGCTAATATAATGATGATGTGCCTTATTGTGTTCCTTCTTGGATCCAACTTCTTTGGGACTCTCTGAGCTTCCTGGATTTCCTGGAAGTCTATTTCCTTTGCCAGATTGGGGAAGTTCTCTTTTATTATTTATTCAAATAAGGCACTCGTGACTGTTCCTCTTCCCCTTCTGGTACCCCTATAATTCGGATGTTGGAACATTTAAAGATGTCCTGAAGGTTCCTAACTCTTTCCTCATTTTTTTGAATTCTTGTTTCTTTATCCTTTTCTGTTTGGTCATTTTTTCCTTCCTTCTGGTCTGCTCCCTTGATTTGAGTCCCAGTTTCCTCCATTACTATTGGTTTCCTGTGCATTACCATTCATTTCAATTAGT